ACTGAGTACACACTGCCTGTGGCACACCTGACAGCTGCCTCGCGGTCGAACTCCACGATGCTGTCCCTGTAGTAGAAGTTCCTGTGAGCCCGGCACTCCCTGCAGAACCATCGCTGACATCGTGGGTTAGGGGAGGGAGGTTGGGGGAGAATGTATCTTGTGTGCTAAGTAGCAGTGATCGCATGGCGTTGGGGGGGATATTGAAGAAGGGGAGGTGTGGAGGGCTTTGGAGGGGATGGCACGAGGTAAGGCTCCAGGTCTGGATGGCTTGCCCTGCAAGTTTTATGTGAGCCATTGGAATGTGTTGAAGTCCTTCTTAGTAGAACTAATGAATACGATGAAAAGGGAGGGGAGGATGGGCAGGTTGCAAGGAACTGCGGTTGTGGTTTTAGTGCCAAAAGGTAAGAGACAAGACACGGTGCAGGACTTTAGGATAATATCATTGCTGTGTGCTGATTATAAGATTTTTGCAAAAATTATAGGAAATAGGATGAAGTGTGTGGTGGATAGAGTGGTTGCAAGAGGACAATATGGTGTCTGGAAGGACGATGTATGACGGGCATAGTATTATAAAGAATTTTGTGGAAAGGTCGGGAGGGGAGCAGGGGGGGGGTGTCTTAGCGTTAGATTGGCAGGCGGCGTATGATAGTGTAGAACGTGAGGTGTTGTGGTACATATTAAGGAGGCAGGGTTTTGGGGAGGAGGTGGTGCGTTGGGCAGAGACATTGTATACAGGTGTGGGAGTGTGTGTACAGGTAAATGGGAAGTTAGGGGAGTGGGTATCCATGGGTCGGGGTATTAGGCAGGGTTGTTCCCTGTCTCAATTGTTTGCCTGTTTAACAGACCCTTTCTATAGAAAGGTGGAAGCGTGTATGGAGGTGGATTGGGGAGCAGGAAGTGGAGAGCAGGGAATAATAGGGTACGTGGATGACACGACAATACTCGTGCGAACGCAGAGGAGTTTACGTGCGGTCAGAAATGTTTTCGATAATTTCGCGGGGGTTACCGGGTTAAGAGTTAATGTGGAAAAATCAAAATTACTGGTCTTAGGAGATTGGGTGGGAAGAGAGAGTTGGGGAAGGTATGTACGTTGGAATATGGTGGACAGGATAAAAGTGTGTGGAATAGTGTATATGAGTAGTGTGAGAGAGGCGAGGATGGTTAATTCTGGACTTGTTGTGGATCGAGTGGTGGGGCGATTGGATGGGTTGAGACCAACTCATTTGACAGTACATCAGCGTGCGATTGTTGTGAATGTGTTGTTATACAGTAAAGTCTGGCACGTGGCTGCGGTATATCCGTTAGCAGGTCCGGATGTTACGAGGCTGTTAAAGAGGGTTTTCCATTTTCTTTGGGGTTCTGGGTGTGAATGGTTGAGTAGGAGTGTGGTTACTTTACCGGTCAACAGAGGAGGATTGGGGTTGATTGATTTACGGTTAAGAGTCAAGTGTATTTATTTGAAGTGGGGGTTACGCTGTGTGCGGGGTCATGCAGGGAGGGGCGTGAATGGTTTGCATGAAGAGGTGCGAATGTGGTGGGGAGGGTCGGAGATGGTGTGTGAAGACGTGTTGCGGGCGTTGCTGCATGTACGGGACCCTAATAAAGTTCGAGTGGGTGTTTTAGAGCGTGTTGTAAGGGCGATGGTAGTCGCGAAGGCTGAGAGTATCTACCCTATGTATGCATGGAAGGATGTATGGGAGAGATTACGGTTGATGCGCGTGCGTCCAAATGTGCGAGAGGTATTTTTCCGTTTTCTCCATGGTATACTGCCGTCGGGTGCTGCACTTAAGGAAAGAGGGTTGATGGTGGAGGGCGCGTGTCGGGTGTGCGGGGATGAGGAAACTGCGTTTCATGTAGTGTATTTATGTGATAATTTGGGGAGTATCAGGGAATGGATGGGTAAGGTTCTGAGGACAGTGGGAGGAGGCGGGATATCAGTATTGAGGGCGTTAAGTTTGGACGTGGGAGGCGTCGAGGTGCCTGTGCAATGTGCAATCACATATATAATTGCGGATTTTGTTTTTGTATCCTGGGCAATGAGAGGGAATGGGGATTGGGAGGTGCGCAAAAGGGTGTTGGCGGGGACCATTTATAGAACGTTGTGTTATAATCGGGAAATATATGGAAGTCGCTGGGACCAGGCTTTTTCAGCAGAGTACCGTAGTATGAGTGTGAGAGTATTATTAACGTTGTGAAAGGGGGGGGGGATTGAATTTCAGGGGATGGAACGGGCTTGTCTCCGGGGTTGGGTATGCACAAGGGCTGTGCTGCTGTGTGTATCTGTGTAATGCGTGGTTGAGGTAAATGTGGTTGTGTGAGTGGATGTGGTGGTGCAGTCACATGTATTATAGATGTCTTATGTCAGAGTCTACTGCCTTCTTTCTTTGTTGAAGTACTTGATGTACCTTTCGGCTATGGCCTGGCAAACGGGGTTTTATGTGTTTGTACTGAGCATTTTATTGCTATATTATATAACGTGTATAGCCTGTAGATGAGTGCGGAATGCTTATGGCTATTCTAGTTTTGTGGCTGACTCGTAAGACTTGTGGTAAGGCGAGTATGTGTGACTGTAGGGAACTTATGTACTGGGAGTTAGGTGAGTAAGAGTATGTACTTTGTTTTATCATGAGATTGTGATGTAGGTCCTTTCATTTATCGATTATTTGTGTTGGTTGTGAGTAATCGATATATTTATCATGATATTCTTATTGTATTGTGCATTGGCAATATGTCCCAGTAATATTATGTAAATAGTGTATACCTGAAGGGATTAAGTAAGCAAGTTTATTCAGGTATACACAAATACAGTTACATAGAATTATCATACATAGCAGCATATGTGTAGACAACCTGGGATAACCCAAAAAAGTCAGACAGTGACTTATTTCCATTGTGGTCCTGCTACAGGGGTCACCTACCTGGAGTTTACCTGGAGAGAGTTCCGGGGGTCAACGCCCCCGCGGCCCGGTCTGAGACCAGGCCTCCTGGTGGATCAGCGCCTGATCAACCAGGCTGTTGCTGCTGGCTGCACGCAAACCAACATACGAGCCACAGCCCGGCTGGTCAGGAACTGACTTTAGGTGCTTGTCCAGTGCCAGCTTGAAGACTGCCAGGGTCTGTTGGTAATCCCCCTTATGTATGCTGGGAGGCAGTTGAACAGTCTCGGGCCCCTGACACTTATTGTATGGTCTCTTAACTTATGTTCTTGTGGTTGTTCTTGTGTGAATAGAGTTAATATTACCCATCTTTCTTAATGTTATGTTTTGTCACAAGCGATATTTTCTAGTATATTTGTGTAACCTCTTGTGTTTGTTAATATTGTGTTTATTTGCTATTGTACGTTCTGAGGGATTGTTTCAAAATGTGTTTATATTAAATGTGTATCAACCCTTGTTTAAGGGGTTTTTATGTTAAGCTATGTATTGTATTTTAAATAAAAAAAAAAAAAAAAAAAAAAAAAACCTAATGGCGCTAAAGCTAACCTATGACACTGAGCTTGACTCTATCATCATTACTGATTCTATGTCATCATTGAAGGCTCTTGGCTCATATAATGACTCCAACAACATGCTCATTGGGGAAGCCAGGTATAAATACTCAAAAATTAGGGACAAAGGAATTAATGTACAATTGCTATGGATCCCATCACACATTGGATTACTCCTTCATGATAAAGTTGATATGTTAGCCAAGAAGAGTATCGAGAAGGAGAATGTAGAATATAACTTTGGTATAACTGTGTCTAGCATTAGGAATAATATTAGGAGAGAAGTAAATAATGAAAATGATTGTTATAGGAATGCAGTTAGAAGCCTGAGTAGATCTATAACCCACTATGATAACATGAACGTTTATGGAGCAACGTGCAATGTGAACACTGACTGATGTTGTAGTGGCCAGGCTTAGGCTAGGTTACAAGTACTGACTGATGTTATAGTGGCCTGGCTTAGGCTTGGTTACAAGTACTGACTGATGTTGTAGTGGCCAGGCCTTAGGCTTGGTTACAAGTACTGACTGATGTTATAGTGGCCAGGCTTAGGCTAGGTTACAAGTACTGACTGATGTTATAGTGGCCTGGCTTAGGCTTGGTTACAAGTACTGACTGATGTTGTAGTGGCCAGGCCTTAGGCTTGGTTACAAGTACTGACTGATGTTATAGTGGCCAGGCTTAGGCTTGGTTACAAGTACTGACTGATGTTGTAGTGGCCAGGCTTAGGCTTGGTTGCAAGTACTTCTGGCAGTTTGGGAGACACACAGATGATGATCAAACTAAATGTAAATTATGTGATCAGGCATATGGTCACTGTCTTGAACACTATGTGCTTAATTGTCCACTTATTGAGGAATACAGAGACAGACAGTATAATAACCTATGTGACATGTCAAGATATCTTATTAATGAAAATAAGATACCAGATATACTAAGCAAATTTCCTAAATTTGCTTGTAACAGATAAGTGAACTATAGATATGTAGATATAAATCCATATGTATTCCTGTTAACCCTTTGGGGCCTAGTTCCTAGGCCTTTTGTGTATCCATATGCTCTCGCGCTACCGTCCACAGGATGGATATGGGGTGCACAATAAACTAGCCACTTCGGTGGCAAAATCTAAAATCTGCAGAGGTTGTCCGCTTGAGAGAGGTTCCTTGACGTAGGTGAGGGGCTCTTGATCCAGGGAATTTGAACCTGTGCTCCAGTTCCCTGAATCCTGCTTACTTTCCACCCCTTCCCCCCACAAGTGCAATATAATCCCTACGGGTTTCGCGCTCCCCAGTGATAATGGAGAAGTTGTCAGGTTAACTAATAATTAATGTTTATTAATGTTAAGGGTAACTAAAGATTATTTAGTTGATAAAAGGGGTACCTAAAGAAATTTTTTTAAATTTTAATATAAGGAATAACTAAAGAATTATTTTAGTTATAGGCGTGTAAGTGATAACTAAAAACATTTATTAATGTTAATATTAGACATGTTGATTCTTTTCTTCTTTTCCAGCTCAAGACCAGAGCTCCCTGCGAGCGTGGAGCTCCCTGTGAGCGCGGAGCTCCCTGTGAGAGAGCACCTAAGCCTCTTAAAGTTCAACTGCATCAGCAACACCAACTTAGAGATGGAGAGAGTACGTCGGCCTGTCAGTGCTGGTAGATGGTGGTAGATACTGTGGTAGATGGTGGTTGATAATGTGGGAGATAGTGGGTGATAGTGTGGGAGATGGTGGTTGATAGTGTTGTAGATGGTGGTACATAGTTTGGTTGATGGTGATGGATAGTGTGGTAAATGGCAGTGGAGAAGGCAGGAGGTACAGTGTACATTATATAAAAAGATAGGTTAAAGGGCACGTAAGTTCCCCTGTCTTCCAGTAACGTTCATTTTTATTTTTCCACTGTATTCTGTTTCGTAAGGTGAAATCTAGCGTCTTTTCTTAATTCATGGTATTACTTAAATCTTTGAGGACAATTGGGTTCTCAGTTGTGTGGGTTCCATGCTGGTTCAGCATACTCCAATATGGGTTTGACATACACGGTGTAGAGTCTTGAAAGATTCCTTAGGTGCTGAAACGCTATTCTGAACCCTGTGGAACCCCGCTCGTCACAGGTGCCCACTCTGACATCTCGTCACGTACCATGACTCGTTGTTTCCTCCCTGTCAGGTATTCTCTGATCCATTGCAGTGCCTTTTCTGTTATACATGCCTGATACTCTAGCTTTTGCACTTACCTCTTGTGAGGAACTGTGTCGAAGGCTTTCTTGTAGTCCAAGAAAATGCAATTTACCCACCCCACTCTTGTGTCTTCCATTACCTTGTCACAAAACTCCAGAAGATTTGTGACACAGAATTTCTCTTCCCTGAAACCGTGCTGGTTGTAAATTTTAAGCTTGTTCCTCTCTAGGTGCTCCACCACATTCCTGATAATCTCCATGACTTTGTATACTATACATGTCAGTGACAGTGGTCTGTAGTTTAATGCCTCATGTCTGTCTCGTTTCTTAAAAATTGGGACTAAATTTGCCGTCTTCCATGCCGCAGGAAGCTGCCCAGTTTCAGTGGCACACACACAGCATGTCTGTGTCCTCTCTCAGGTCCCACTGTCTTTGAGGCATCATTTAGCAGCTTCTTCACCTCCTTGATTGTGTGTATTTCATCCACCACTTGGTGATGTATGCCACTGTTCTGACTTCCTAGAGTCCTTTCTGTCTCTGTAAATATTTCCTTAAATCTCGTGTTAAGCTCCTCACATGCTTCTTGGTCGTTTCTTGCGAGCTCCCTTCTTCAGCCTGATTACCTGGTCCTTGACTGTTGTCTTCCTCCTGATGTTTCTATTTAACAGCTTCGAGTCAGACTTGACTTTCAATGCTATATCATTTTCATACTGTCGCTGGGCCTCCCTCCCTATTTGTACATACTCGTTTCTGGCTCTTCGACTAATCTCTTTATTTTCCTGGGTTCTCTGCCTTCTGTACTTTTCCTGTTCTCTAGTGCACTTAGTTTTCGCCTCCCTACACCTTTGGGTAAACCAAGGGGATCATTCTGGTCTTCCCATTATTTCTGTTGCTGTTGGGAACAAACCTTTCCTCTGCCTCCTTGCATTTTGCTGTCACATAGTCCATTTTGTTTACTGATTTTCCTACCAACTCTTTTTCCCACTGAACCTCCTGCAGGAAGTTCCTCATACCTGAGTAGTTCCCCCTTATGTAGTTTGGGTTTTCCCATCCTACTCCTGTTACCCTTTCCACTTGTAGCTCTACTATGTATTAAAAACTCAAAACCACGTGATCATTAGCTCCAAGGGGCCTTTCATACGTGATGTTCTCATTGTCCGAGCTACTTAGGGTGAACACGAGGTCCAGTCTTGCTGGTTCATCCTCCCCTCTCTCTCTGGTAGTGTTTCTAACATGCTGATACATGAGATTTTCCCGTACCACATCCATCATCTTGGTTCTCCATGTTTCTGGACCCCCATGTGGCTCCAGGTTTTCCCACTTTATCTGTGTGTGTGTGTGTGTGTGTGTGTGTGTGTGTGTGTGTGTGTGTGTGTGTGTACTCACCTAATTGTACTCACCTAATTGTGGTTGCAGGGGTCGAGACTCAGCTCCTGGCCCCGCCTCTTCACTGATCGCTACTGGATCCTCTCTCTCTCTGCTTCCTGAGCTTTGTCATACCTCTTCTTAAAACTGTGTGTGTGTGTGTGCACGCGCGCTTGTACTCGCCTAATTGTACTCCCCTAATTGTGGTAGCAGGGGTCGAGACTGTGTGTGTGTGTACGTGTGTACTCACCTAGTTGAGGTTGCAGGGGTCGACTCCAAGCTCCTGGCCCCGCCTCTTCACTGTGTGTGTGTGTGTTAATATTGATGTTTTTAAGCACACAAATAATATTAATACATATTTTAGAAGTATCAACAGTTATTTCTACCGACACCTTAAAAATGGCCGACACTCACCGTTAATAATAATTTTAACAATAAACTTTATTTCTACATGTACATGTACATTGTACATGTGCAATGTACATGTACAATGTACACAGACCATCGCTGACATCAGTAACATATTGTATATAAAATCCCTGGTTGTGCAGAGCATTTCCCACAAATTAGGTTTCTGTCCCCAGGATGCCACCCACACCAGTCAACCAACACCCAGGTACCTATTTTACTGCTAGGTATACCGGAAATTGAACCACGAACCCTCAGTGTGTGAGCAGAGTTGTAAGTTAATTTTCAGACTGATTCAAATAATGTATACAACCAGGGAGTTTTAAGTCTCTTAAATGTCAGTCACTATCAGTGTTTCAAGGTTATAATCTATGGTAATGTTCTTGTTATTGTTATTATTGTTATTGTTGTTATTGTTATTATTGTTATTATTGTTACAAACTATTCCAGTTACTGGACTACATTGAAATTCTTAGTAGGTACAGGAGGGCCCCATTTATACAGCAGATTAGATACCGGGCTACTGTAGGGCCCCATTTATACAGTAGGTTAGATACCGGGCTACTGTAGGGCCCCATTTATACAGCAGGTTAGATACCGGGCTACTGTAGGGCCCCATTTATACAGTAGGTTAGATACTGGGCTACTGTAGGGCCCCATTTATACAGTAGGTTAGATACCGGGCTACTGTAGGGCCCCATTTATACAGCAGGTTAGATACCGGGCTACTGTAGGGCCCCATTTATACAGCAGGTTAGATACCGGGCTACTGTAGGGCCCCATTTATACAGCAGGTTAGATACCGGCTACTGTAGGGCCCCATTTATACAGCAGGTTAGATACCGGGCTACTGTAGGGCCCCATTTATACAGCAGGTTAGATACCGGGCTACTGTAGGGCCCCATTTATACAGCAGGTTAGATACCGGGCTACTGTAGGGCCCCATTTATACAGTAGGTTAGATTGTGGGCTACTGTAGGGCCCCATTTATACAGCAGGTTAGATACCGGGCTACTGTAGGGCCCCATTTATACAGCAGGTTAGATACCGGGCTACTGTAGGGCCCCATTTATACAACAGGTTAGATACCGGGCTACTGTAGGGCCCCATTTATACAGCAGGTTAGATACCGGGCTACTGTAGGGCCCCATTTATACAGCAGGTTAGATACCGGGCTACTGTAGGGCCCCATTTATACAACAGGTTAGATACCGGGCTACTGTAGGGCCCCATTTATACAGCAGGTTAGATACCGGGCTACTGTAGGGCCCCATTTATACAGCAGGTTAGATACCGGACTACTGTAGGGCCCCATTTATACAGTAGGTTAGATTGTGGGCTACTGTAGGGCCCCATTTATACAGCAGGTTAGATACCGGGCTACTGTAGGGCCCCATTTATACAGCAGGTTAGATACCGGGCTACTGTAGGGCCCCATTTATACAGTAGGTTAGATTGCGGGCTACTGTAGGGCCCCATTTATACAGCAGGTTAGATACCGGGCTACTGTAGGGCCCCATTTATACAGCAGGTTAGATACCGGGCTACTGTAGGGCCCCATTTATACAGCAGGTTAGATACCGGGCTACTGTAGGGCCCCATTTATACAGCAGGTTAGATACCGGGCTACTGTAGGGCCCCATTTATACAGCAGGTTAGATACCGGGCTACTGTAGGGCCCCATTTATACAGCAGGTTAGATACCGGGCTACTGTAGGGCCCCATTTATACAGCAGGTTAGATACCGGACTACTGTAGGGCCCCATTTATACAGTAGGTTAGATTCCGGGCTACTGTAGGGCCCCGTTTATACAGCTGCTGCTGTATAGTGAAACATGACCTTTTCTTCAGTGTCAAATACATTTAAGGAGCTTAAAATTAAGACACATGTGCAACATCTGGGTATCTTTATTGTTGACGTTTCGCCCTCCAGTGGCTTTATCAATACAAATTCCAGGACATAACTTGAAGACAGTAAAACTATATACAGAAGATGAGGTAATCAGTCCCTCAACCTTGGAGTTGGTGCGAGGAACACCGTAGTGGTGGAGAATCTCCACCACTTGATAACAGGAGCTTGATAATAGGAACTTGAGAACATGTTTACATTATCATACTACTAAGTGCGTAATAAAGCTAGGCCTAAAAAATGCACATACAGTGAACACATTACTTAAAATATTTTAATTCTTAGCTTATAGTGAGTGCTGAATATATCATAGGAAGTTTGAATATATCAAGAATGGTTGTAATTGAAAACTGCTGCATTAGCGAAATGCCGTAAAGTGAAGCACGGTAAAGCGAGGCTCTGTAAGTGAAGCGCTGTAAAGCGAGGCACTGTAAGCAAAGCGCTGTAAAGCGAGGCACTGTAAGTGAAGCGCTGTAAAGCGAGGCACTGTAAGCGAAGTGCTGTAAAGCGAGGCGCTGTAAGCGAAGCGCTGTAAAGCGAGGCACTGTAAGCGAAGCGCTGTAAAGCGAGGCACTGTAAGCGAGGCACTGTAAGCGAAGTGCTGTAAAGCGAGGCGCTGTAAGCGAAGCGCTGTAAAGCGAGGCACTGTAAGCGAAGCGCTGTAAAGCGAGGCACTGTAAGCGAGGCACTGTAAGCGAAGTGCTGTAAAGCGAGGCACTGTAAGCGAAGCGCTGTAAAGCGAGGCACTGTAAGCGAAGCGCTGTAAAGCGAGGCACTGTAAGCGAGGCACTGTAAGCGAAGCGCTGTAAAGCGAGGCACTGTAAGCGAAGCGCTGTAAAGCGAGGCACTGTAAGCGAAGCGCTGTAAAGCGAGGCACTGTAAGCGAAGCGCTGTAAAGCGAGGCACTGTAAGCGAGGCACTGTAAGCGAAGCGCTGTGAAGCGAGGCACTGTAAGCGAAGCGCTGTGAAGCGAGGCACTGTAAGCGAGGCACTGTAAAGTAGGGCCTGCCTGTACTTGGGTGCTAGTTGATTGTTGTGGGTGGCATCCTGGGTGTAGTAGCATACCTCAGAGTTGAGTAAGGATAATATAGCTTTTAAATAATATTTAATAACATCAGTTACAGCCACACTGCCCTCAAAAGATGCCCACTAATGCATGCCCCTATCCCACAGTACCCACCATCAACGAGGAAACTTTCAAGTCAGTCTCAGGTATCACCAGACGCAGGGGAGCCATCAGACACCAGAAGGTACATAGCGTCAAAGGACATAAGTTCGTCGCTAAGTTCTTCAGACAACCTACTTTCTGCGCTTTCTGCGGTGACTTCCTCTGGTAAGTCTCTGGAGCTCTTCATCCAAGACACTGGAGCTACACCTGATTTTCTAATGTTAAACTTATTTCTTAGCGCTCTATAGTTACCCTGTGGGAACACCAGCAGTGTTACTATACTGTTCTATATGATAGTTACATTGTGGGAACACAAGCAGTGTTACTACACTGTTCTATATGATAGTTACATTGTGGGAACACCAGCAGTGTTGCTACATTATTCTATATGATAGTTACATTGTGGGAACACCAGCAGTGTTACTACACTGTTCTATATGATAGTTACATTGTGGGAACACCAGCAGTGTTGCTACACTATTCTATATGATAGTTACATTGTGGGAACACTAGCAGTGTTGCTACAATATTCTATATGATAGTTACACTGGGAACACCAGAAGTGTTGCTACACTGTTCTGTATGATAGTTACATTGTGGGAACACCAGCAGTGTTGCTACACTATTCTATATGATAGTTACATTGTGGAACACCAGCAGTGTTGCTACAATATTCTATATGATAGTTACATTGTGGGAACACTAGCAGTGTTGCTACACTATTCTATATGATAGTTACATTGTGGGAACACCAGCAGTGTTGCTACAATATTCTATATGATAGTTACATTGTGGGAACACCAGCAGTGTTGCTACACTATTCTATATGATAGTTACATTGTGGGAACACCAGCAGTGTTTAGCTACACTATTCTATATGATAGTTACATTGTGGGAACACTAGCAGTGTTGCTACACTATTCTATATGATAGTTACATTGTGGGAACACCAGCAGTGTTGCTACAATATTCTATATGATAGTTACATTGTGGGAACACCAGCAGTGTTGCTACACTATTCTATATGATAGTTACATTGTGGGAACACCAGCAGTGTTTAGCTACACTATTCTATATGATAGTTACATTGTGGGAACACCAGTAGTGTGTTGCTACACTGTTCTATATGATAGTTACATTGTGGGAACACCAGCAGTGTTGCTACAATATTCTATATGATAGTTACATTGTGGAACACCAGCAGTGTTGCTACACTATTCTATATGATAGTTTACATTGTGGGAACACCAGCAGTGTTGCTACACTATTCTATATGATAGTTACATTGTGGGAACACCAGCAGTGTTGCTACACTATTCTATATGATAGTTACATTGTGGGAACACCAGCAATGTTGCTACACTATTCTATATGATAGTTACACTGTGGGAACACCAGCAATGTTGCTACACTATTCTATATGATAGTTACACTGTGGGAACACCAGCAGTGTTGCTACAATATTCTATATGATAGTTACACTGTGGGAACACCAGCAGTGTTGCTACACTATTCTATATGATAGTTACACTGTGGGAACACCAGCAGTGTTGCTACACTGTTATATATGATAGTTACACTGTGGGAACACCAGCAGTGTTGCTACACTATTCTGTATGATAGTTACATTGCAGGAACACCAGCAGTGTTGCTACAATATTCTATATGATAGTTACATTGTGGGAACACCAGCAGTGTTGCTACACTATTCTTTATGATAGTTACACTGTGGGAACACCAGCAGTGTTGCTACACTATTCTATATGATAGTTACACTGTGGGAACACCAGCAGTGTTGCTACAATATTCTATATGATAGTTACATTGTGGGAACACTAGCAGTGTTGCTACATTATTCTATATGATAGTTACATTGTGGGAACAGAAGCAGTGTTGGTACAATATTCTATATGATAGTTACACTGTGGGAACACCAGCAGTGTTGCTACAATATTCTATATGATAGTTACATTGTGGGAACACTAGCAGTGTTGCTACATTATTCTATATGATAGTTACATTGTGGGAACAGAAGCAGTGTTGGTACAATATTCTATATGATAGTTACACTGTGGGAACACCAGCAGTGTTGCTACACTGTTCTGTATGATAGTTACATTGTGGGAACACCAGCAGTGTTGCTACACTATTCTATATGATAGTTACATTGTGGGAACACCAGCAGTGTGTAGCTACACTATTCTATATGATAGTTACACTGTGGGAACACCAGCAGTGTGTAGCTACACTATTCTATATGATAGTTACATTATGGGAACACCAGCAGTGTGTAGTTACACTATTCTATATGATAGTTACATTGTGGGAACACCAGCAGTGTGTAGTTACACTATTCTATATGATAGTTACATTGTGGGAACACCAGCAGTGTTGCTACACTATTCTGTATGATAGTTACATTGTGGGAACACCAGCAGTGTTGCTACACTATTCTATATGATAGTTACATTGTGGGAACACCAGCAGTGTTGCTACACTATTCTATATGATAGTTACATTGTGGGAACACTAGCAGTGTTGCTACACTATTCTATATGATAGTTACATTGTGGGAACACCAGCAGTGTTGCTACACTATTCTATTTGATAGTTACATTGTGGGAACACCAGCAGTGTTGCTACACTATTCTATATGATAGTTACATTGTGGGAACACCAGCAGTGTGTGTAAAACGCACACGACTCCAGGTCAACACAGTACTGTGTGTTTATGGGACAAGATACCTACTGCTGGTCATCATGTGACTAAGACCAGCGTCAGGAAACACTTGTCCTGTTTCCTGACAAAGCTTACCTAACCCCTTGAAAACTTTATTCATTTATTTATTTGAACATGATACAGAGAAGTACAAAAGAATACAGTTAAATGCAACATGCCAAAGCCCCTTGTATGCAGAACATTATGGGCAGCTTAAAATTAACTTAAGATTAACTATTCAATGATATATTCAGTGGTACAAAAATTATTGTATAACAGATAACAATTTAGTACAAATAAGTATTACAAAGACAGGTCATGTGGTCATTACTGTGTTGCTGTGTAATCTGTAGGATGGAGTATTATGTTTGGTAATGAAGTTAAATAGTAACAAAGTTTGACTGGGTCACAGGTTGACATTTATGAGATACAATAATGAGATACATTTATGAGATACAATTATTCAGTATTTATTTAGTTGTGGATGAGTAAGTGATTTTTGAGAAGAGACTTGAATTTATAAACAGGTAGTGTTTCTTTTATATTCACAGATAATGAATTCCAGATTTTAGGGCCTTTTATGTGCATTGAGTTTTTGCATAGTGTGAGATGGACACGAGGAACATCAAAGAGTGATCTGTGCCTTGTGTTATGGTCATGTGTTCTGTTGAGGTTGGTAAGATGTTTGAGGGGAGGGTTTATGTCAGAGTTAAGTGTTCTATGTATGTAGTAGGTGCAGTAATAAGTATGGATGTTTTGTATGGTGAGTAGGTTTAGAGTTTTGAATATTGGTGGAGTGTGCTGCCTGTAGTGAGAATTTGTTATTCTGACTGCAGCCTTTTGTTGGGTAATTAATGGTCTGAGATGGTTAATTGTTGTTGAGCCCCATGCACAAATTCCATAGGTGAGATAGAGGTAAATAAGAGAGTGATATAGGGCCAGGAGGGCTGACTGGAGTTTACCTGGAGAGAGTTCCGGGGGTCAACGCCCCCGCGGCCCGGTCTGTGACCAGGCCTCCTGGTGGATCAGAGCCTGATCAACCAGGCTGTTACTGCTGGCTGCACGCAAACCAACGTACGAGCCACAGCCCGGCTGATCAGGAACTGACTTTAGGTGCTTGTCCAGTGCCAGCTTGAAGACTGCCAGGGGTCTATTGGTAATCCCCCTTATGTATGCTGGGAGGCAGTTGAACAGTCTCGGGCCCCTGACACTTATTGTATGGTCTCTTAACGTGCTAGTGACACCCCTGCTTTTCATTGGGGGGATGTTGCATCGTCTGCCAAGTCTTTTGGGATCATTTTTGTTTGATCTGATTTCCCTATTTGGAACATAATTTGACTGAGCAGCTAGAACTATGTCCTGGAAAGCGTCATATCGGCAACCATCACCACCTACCTGACCCTTAGTCAGGTCATTCCAGTTCAGCCCACCTAAGTAATTTTTCAGTCCTATGAAATCAGCCAAGCGAAAGTCAGGGACGGAGACTTGATTGCCATTATTAGGGGAATTCCATGATATATTAAAACTGAGTGATTTGTGATCACTTTCCCCAAGCTCATCATTAACCTCAAGATTATTAATTAGTGTTTCCCTACTGGCAAGAACCAAGTCAAGGAGGTTATTTCCCCTAGTTGGCTCTGTCACAAACTGTTTTAAAAAACAATCCTGGATCGTATCAAGAAAGTCACCCTGACTCTAAATTTCCTGTAAAATTGCTCCAGTCAATCTGTCTATAGTTAAAATCCCCCATTAGCACAACATTTTCGTTTGTAGATGCCTTACGAATTTCGTTCCCATAGAAGTTTACTGCATTCCCTATCAAGATTTGGGGCCCTGTAAATCACACCCAAAATTAGTTTTTCTCGTCCCTCGAGAAGCTGAAAACCAAACAGATTCAGTGGCTGACGCTTCTAATTTTATATCTTGTCTAACACAACAATTTAAATTGTCTCTGACATACATCGCTTATCCACCTCCCTTCCTGTTGACCCCTGTCAGTGTGGAATAATTTATAGCCTTGTATGTTGACATTCAGGGGGCATCTCTCTATCTTTCGATTGAGCCAGTCTCTGTTATAGCAATAATATCTATGTTTCCTGCACTTTGCAATTAATCTTAGCTCATCTATCTTATTTCTTACACTCCTGCTATTAGTATAGAAAACCCTTTAAAAGGGAGCTAGTCCCTTGCTGTCCTCTGCTGTCCCCCTTTGTTTGCTGACCTGATCTATTGTCTTTATTTATAACTTCATGCTGAATGCCTTTTATACATTTACTGTTTCGAACCCTAGTGTTGCAACCTGCTTGTTTCCCACACACACACCCATACCTCTATCTTCTATCAGTTTAAAATCATAGGCATTTTACCAATGGCCTTCTCAGTTGAGTCTGCAAGTGCTACCACCCCTGCCCCAGAGAGATGTACCCCATCCCTTGCATACATATCA